AATTGTAATCAACTTAGGTGTTGTTAACTTATAGCTTGAAATTGGATTGTCATGGTGAAGTTGAAACCCTAGTGCTTGTCTCCTTTGTCTCTAAATTTTCTAAACATCTACTTGCTGGTCACTTGCTATTTTGCATTCCCTTCTAGTAGTTTTCAATCACTTGCTATTTGCTTTCCCTTTTTGTAGTTGTTACTCCAAACAAACTCAACACAACCTCATTTAAATTCTGTTTAGTCTTAGGATTACTTGTGAGTCTAAGTAGTAGTATTAAGTGTCTTTCATCCAAGTCTCTGTGGAATGACCTCGTGCTTGCATTCCTATACTATAATTGGTTCGTGCACTTGCGAGAAATAGATAGAGTATTAGAGTTAAATCTGTCCAACAAAGCATCATCTCTCACCTCTGGAACCCTTCAATTTCGAGCCACACCTATCCATCTCCTCCAATTTTCTCTTCTGGCAAGCTATTCCAAATCTTAACAGACTTTTCGTCAAGCTGCTGGAAATTACTCAAACAACCCATCGTTCCTCCTCATCTCTCTCCCCCCTTAGCCAACCTTCTTAGAATCACTTTCCTTTCCTTAGAACCCCTGTTTCTTATAGGAATTCACAGCCCTCTCTCTGTTTATGCTAAACTCATGATGGTTTTGCTCCCATGCCACAAGCTTCTCATACCAAGTTAAAAATCTATCTATAAGCAGATGTTGTTTTTGTTGGTGAATGTAACCGGGGTGTTTCCTAAGGCTTCACTGTCCTTTCGAAGCATTCTTGGGGCTTGATCTTTGAACTTAGACACAGGGGGTAATTTTACCCGTTTTCGCTTCTTACGGCAGCCCAGCCCATTCGTCAGGCTGCTAGAACAAAAAGACCTCCACACATGGCTTACCCTTCAATTCCTATTTGTTGCAATGTACTTTTGAAATTTTAAATTCAACAATATTTTCATGAATTTTTTAGTTGTGTAAAAGAATACTTTAAATTTGTGTCAGATTGTAAAATTGTATATCTAGATATACCATTTACAAGACTGATAGTGGAATAATATCGATACGCTTTGTTTAGGGGTGGGCATCAATCCGGCTGAATTGATAAAACCGGTTCAACTAAACCATAATTATCAGTTTAGTTTGGTTTTGACCAAGAAAAAGTTAAATGGTTTAAAAATCGAACCGAATATTTATTTATTTATATTTTATTTTACATGTGTAATACTCTGATTAGTTAATAACTATATATGAATATTTAAATTGAGCTATTTTAGTTAGTGAAATATAAAATTTTATGACATTTTGAGCTTTAGGATGGTTTTGTATTCTAGAAAATGATTTATGTATGAAGTAAGTTGTGAATTTGTTGGTTATAATTGGGCTAACAATGTTGAAAAAATGCAAAAAGAAAAAGAATTGGGTTTAGGCTCAAATCGGCCGAACCAAGCCGTCTTAAATTGGTTTGATTTGATTCGGTTTCCTTTATAACTTTTATTCAAATCGAACCGAATTAAATCGTTGTATTGTAATTGGTTTGGCCGTGATTTTGATTGTCGTGAAGGTCCAGGTGGCGGGTGGAGCTGCGTGAAGCGGACGCATGCTACAAACAAAAAGAAGATTTTTATATGAATACGTCAGAGAAAGAGAGAGAAGGTCTTGTGTTTGATTGATTGAAATTTGAAGCTACCAGAGAAATGAGACTGTCCAGAATGTTGCCCTTAAGCTCATCAGCCATTAACAACGGCTCTCATATTTCCTCATCAACTTTGCCCCCATCCTTCTACTCTCTCACTTCTCGCCAACCCAGCATTAACCCCAAAAATCCAATCACCAGGAATTTCATCTCCCTCAACAAATCATCGTTTCCTCCCCGCAAATATTCAATCTTCACCAACAAGCAAAATATGTCCACCGTTTGTAGCTCCAAGTCTGACAATGGGTCCCATGATTCCCCTTTCCAGGTTTTTTTCCTCTCATCTATTAAACTTTTCGTTTTTATTTATTTATGATTTTTATATACATGAGTGGATTGCAGGGAGGTGAATCATTTTTCAGGGAAGTGTTGTCAAGTATGGAGGCTGTCTACTTGAGCAGGAACCCAACAGCAAAAGCAGTGTTGGAGCTCGTTGGGTCGGTTGCTGATGACCAAATTTGCTATGATCATTTCGCTTTTAGGACATTTGGGGTAATTTCTCTTTTCCTTCGATTAATACCAAATAGTGTTGATTTTTATTTTCATTATTAAGACATTAAACAAGTGTGCATATGATGTGCATTCATTTCAATTGATCTTGTTAGCATTGTTATTGAAGTTGGTTTTCATTTGGAACAATCAATAGGTGAATGGTTATGGGATTGACTCCATGGCTAAATTTTTCCTGGATTTCGGGTACACGCCTCGGGAGGAGTTAAGATTCCCTGCCAAAAAATTGAGAGCATTGTGGTTTTCTCCTCCCAGTGTTCCAACTCCTCATGGTGGCAGCGGTGTTAATGGACCTTTACCAAGAGTGTTTGTATCTGAGCTTCTTGTGGATCAGATGAGTCCAGAAACTCAGGTATATATACATATATGTTACTCTGTTTATCGCAAATATGTTTTGATATTTGTCCTATTTCCCATTAGTTGAAACTTGAGTGTTCTTCAACATTCAGGATATAATCAGAAAGTACACTGGAATATCTGGTTCTGGAAATAAACATGCTGCTCTAGCAAGTGCACTGGGATCTTTAACGTGGGAAAAGCCATTGCATTCTGAATTTCAACAATTGGCTAGGTACTTGGTTTTCATTGTGCAAGCAAAATTTTCATATCTTAGCCAAAGAGGTTAGATTTGAATATTGTAGCATATTATCTTCTGGCATGATATAAGGCTTATATCTGATTTATGGATATGTAGGGAAAGCGAATATGCTGCCTGGACCCTTGTCAATGGGTATGCACTAAACCATGCCACTATCTCAACTCATCAGCTGAAATCTCGATTGAGAGATATTAAAAACCTCAATCAGTTCATTGAGAAGAATGGGTTCAAGTTGAATTCTGAAGGGGGAACTCTGAAAGGTTTGTTACATGATCTGTAGCACAACAAACATGTCTTAGGAGCGATCTTGTGGTGATTTTTGTATATGTTCAATATTTTTTTCTGATATGATACTAGGATTATAGATTAAACCATGTTCATTTTCATGTACCTAAGCTGCTCATTCTTAGGCAGAACATGCAAATGCTGTTAGCGTCTTGCTAAGGTTTGAGTAAATATACATCATCTTCTGTTAATAAAAAGGAAAAAAAAGAACGATAACAGAGATAGAGATTGATATAATTTCTTTTATAGGAAAGTAGAGAATGATATTATTGGTATTCAGAAACTGATATGTTTGTTGGAACACATGACTGGGCCTTTGTGCATATCATCAACTGAATTAATGTGGCATGCCATAAGCTGAAGTTGAGTTAAGTGAAATTTCTTGCAATATCTTTTATTGCATATTACTCAATGCTGATTATTATGAGTTTACTTCTTCCATTAACAGTGAGCCCCGATGGTCTTCTTCAGCAAAGTTCAACTGTCGCAGATTCAATTCTTTTCCAATTTTCTGATGGTCTAACTGAATCAGTCCCCTGCTCCTATATCGAGTTTGCTGAGCGCCTGGTGCTGCCTCAGTACAGTAATCTACCCCTTGAAGAGGTAACCAAACTTTTGTCTGTTGGTATTTTGGGTTTTTCAAGTTGCTTTTTGTGTTGCACAATTATGAACTAGCAACTTGCACAGGTCCAAGAGCATCACAGGCGAGATGGATTTGAGGTTGGAAATGCTGACAAGATCTTCGAGAGTACATCCAAGGAGCAGCTGACCAGGAAGGCTGCATGAAAGAATGATCCTTTACAATGATGAAGTGGATTTCACTTTTGAAGATCCTTCAAAAAGAAGGGGGGAACAAAAAATAAAACCTCTTCAGGGATTAAGTTTGGTGTGTTTACTAATCAGAAATTAGAATTCTCATCAGGAATTGAATTCCGCATATGGAGGATTCCTGCGTTTACTTCACATCAAGGAATTGAAAAGTAAGTGGGGCCCACACAAAATTAGGAATTGAATTCTTAAATTTGGAGAAATTCAATTCCTGAGTGGGAGATGGTATTCTAATTCCTGAAGAATGAACCCATTAGGAATTCATCTTTTTTACCCATTATATCCTCACATAATATTCAAAATTTCAAAATTTTCATCTACTTTAACCCAACAACGGGGACATTTGAGTAATTAGTATAACTCCTACCTCAATTCCATATGGTTTAGTAAACAACTTCAATAGGAATCCGAAATCTAATTCTCCTCAATCAAATTCCTAATCAATTCAATTCATCCTTAATTCAATTTCCCCTAATCCAATTACGGATTAGTAAACATGCCATGTGTGCATCTAACAAAGTGGTCATCAAGGCTGAGATGGTAATGTAAATACATATGTGCCACCTTCATCCTTAATTCAATTCCCCCTAATCCAATTACGGATTAGTAAACATGCTATGTGTGCATCTAACAAAGTGGTCATCAAGGCTGAGATGGTAATGTAAATACATATGTGCCACCATTGGAGGAGTTGGAGCATGTATATATCTATTTGATAGAAATAATAACAAAAGGCAGGTCTTATGGGTTTTCTTTTTTTGGTCGTATGGGCTCAATGCAAAATAAGCCTCTTTGGAAATGTGTCCAATTGACTCTTAGCTGTAGCTGTTGTGGCAAAAGATGCGGATAATGATTTATTTCAATTTAAGATTAAATTTCCTTATCTTATGCTATATATATTGCTATCTGATGGTGAGATCCTACCAAACCCGCTCTCTCTCTCTCTCCCTCCACCTCTCGTTGAATGGCGCCAAACTTTCCACCAAGTCCAAAATATTAGGCCACGAGACAAGACGTAGCTTATTTGAAATTGGTTCTTCTCATGTACTTAAGCCAAGTAGTAGCGTCTTTTGTTTTATACCAGAAAGGGATATGACATATGACCATGAAACAAGGACTTGTATTCATCGAAGGAACAAGATGACAAAGGATATAATGTAACGGGAGGCAACAATCTTGTCTTGGTATTTCTAACCGATACATTTTGCTCAATAAACTTCACATGCCCTTACTTCGAGGTCATCACTCTAAACATAACATCAAGCAAACATGTTTCTCTGTTGCTTTTTGAGTTGTCCATGAACAAATGCTTTAACAGATGACACATCTATACCGAAGAAGAGGGAAAAGGAAAAAAGAAAAAGATAAAAAAGGAAAATGATTGCTGACAATGGGGTGGGAAATGATACAGACAGCTGCCAACCCTATCTTAAGGTTTGCTATTAGGTTTTGGTGATTGATGGGGATATTGATGGTGATATGGAGAAGCATGGGAACCATTTGGTATTGAGAGGCTCCTCTGCTGATGATGCCCATTCCTTGTTAGCAATCCTGCTTGTGTTCTGACACCATTTCTGGTATTTGGGCTGGACCCAACGCGGTCAGATTGCATGGTCTGGAAATAGTATGATGAGCTTGCCATATCCTTGAGGTTTGGCAGCGGCTTTAAGGCTTCAACAACTTCACTCATTAGGGGCCTGGCTTTAGGATCTCGACTAAGGCAATGGGCAGCTAGTTGTGCAGCTTTTTGGACACCTTTTATTGAAAAGTGGCCTTCAAGCCGGGGGTCTATCAATCGGTAGAATCTTCTTCTCTCGCCTAAATGTGGCCGTGCCCATTCCACAAGGTTATGTTCACCATTCGGTCGATTTTTGTCCATAGATCTTCTGCCAGTCAGCATCTCAAGTAAAACCACGCCAAAACTATAGACATCACTCCTGGATGTAAGATGTCCTGCAACAAAATACAAGTGAATCTACTTGGACTTCAACAAGGTATCAAGACGTGTTTACATGTATCCAAAACATAATATCCTAAACGATAAGCCTTCTCTTTGGACCTAGCTAATGTATAAATAACAACTCCAGATAATGGAAGATATCCTTTAAGAAAATATAAATAGGTACAAATAGCAGACATTCTATGTTAGGAAGATAAAAGATTGAGGGTAACTGCACTCACCAGTCATTACATATTCCGGAGCTGCATAACCATAAGTTCCCATCACACGGGTGGAGACATGGGTTTTATCACCCTCAGGACCATCTTTGGCAAGTCCAAAGTCAGACAGTTTGGCATTGTAATCCTGTAATGGTACTTTATTAGAAAGGTGAATCATATTATGGGGGAATATGTAAGTTTGTCAAAGTTTTAAGGGCATACTGCATCCAATAAGATGTTGGAGGTTTTAAAATCCCGATATATAACAGGTCTTTCTGCTTCCTCGTGAAGAAAAGCAAGACCTTTTGCAGCACCTAATGCAATTTTCATTCTAATTGACCATGGAAGAGGCAAGGACCCTACATATAGTAGATATTATCAGAGAAAGCCAAAAGACCATACTTCTAAATGGGATTGAATGAAAATTAGATTTTCAGAAACGCAGTTACGTACTCCTAAACAGATGGTTCTCCAAACTCCCTCGAGGCATGAACTCATACACTAGCAGCCTTTGATCATCTTCAATGCAGTATCCTATAAGTTTAACTAAGTTTGGATGGACAAGGTCACCAAGGAAATTTACTTCAGCCTGAGACATAGAAAGCCGAACAAGAATAAAAAATTGTATACAACATAGGCAGAGAACACCAAAACATTATGTAGTATAAGAGTTAAAACAAATCAGGAAAGTTCCAAACCAGCCATTCTTTATGACCCTGAAGCCCATCATGGTTAAGAGTTTTAACTGCAACAGTAAGCCCTGTGCCAGGTTTTACTGGAGCAGTTCCATTTTCTTCTATCCACCCCTTGAACACACAACCAAAACCACCTTCACCAAGAAGACTTTCAGGTCTGAAATTCCTTGTTGCCAATTTAAGATCATTAAATGTGAATTTTCGTAACCGCGAAGCAACTTTAAGTTCCTCTTCAAGTTTGGAAGTGGATGCATTACTTTCTGTGTTACTAGTGGTTGAGGAAGAGACTACAGTAGCTGTTGGTTGGTCTCTGCTTGTATCATTTGTAGATTTAGTTTCTGCAAACCCCAAAAAAGAAACCAATACATTAGAATACTGAAAATAAAGAATAAATGTGTTCTTCTAATAGCACCAAGTTGAAAAAATATTGCCCCTAAGCAAATTAAGTTTAAGCATACATAGGACCTGATGTAAGAATTACACATGACCAACACAGGATAAAACCTTAAATAGACTTAATCTGACTATCATATCAGTCAATAAGTGTTGAATAGGAAATTAGAAGATTATCTAAACTAGATACCATAAGCATAGCCATCTGACATGAATCATGTATTTTCAAAAACCAGTTTTTATCAAGAATTACTGTATACCCAATTCGATGACCACTCTTCCAACCTCATCACATCAGGAAAAATATTCCTAAAGCCATAAAATCTATTTTCTAATAACAACACATCTCTTACGCCTTCACTTTCCATACCAATATGACACATCCTCACCACTGCTACCACAATTTTATTTGCATGCTCCCACCATCTCCTAGCGAATCCTGTAATTACCAATTAACCCGCTGTCCCTAACTCACAACCAGTATTATATTGAGAAAATCCTCACAAGCAGATAAGTTTAACACAAAGCATACAACAAATCAAGAGAAAGTATAACATCAGAATGCCTAACCCTTCATCCTTTATATTGGGCAGAACATACCTAAGTTGCCTTAAAACATATGTCTTATTATGTATTTATTTAGTCATACAGTCTGGACTCAAATTATTGTTTCCCAGCTATAGGAGACTGCAGGGAGGGATAACTCGTGTTCTCAAAAGCAAGCTCACATGTTTCTGTGAAATGTTTTTCCAGGCCCAAGAAGCTTTTCCAGCCACCTATCTGCTCTTCTCGTATGAGAGATAGATTAAAGGGCTCAATTGGGTTTGAGCTCTAAAACCAGCCTCCAAACCCAAAACTTAACCAGGTTATTGCAGGTATACTCTTCATGAACAATGGGGACCTTCATGCTTTGATTAGAATCCATCAAGAGCAAAGCTCTTTAGATTGACCATAGTGGTATAATGCAGCCAACTTATGGGCGCCCCAAGCAGAAATGGCTATGTTAACAGCAATTATTTGTAAAATTACTTACAGAATCTCCAGGCCTAAATTTTATTGTCTATGACGACTATATGCGCGACAAACATGATATGGCTGAGAAAGGAAGAACTGTACGACTACAGACTACAAAAGCTAAAATAGAAACAACAGAACAATCCTAGAAAGAAATCAACAAGAACACTTGAAGCATATGAGCTAGTAAAAAGTGATTCCAAGAAAATAGAAAGTTACCACAGTGAGTACTGGTTCCACTGATTGAGCTATCAACTTTGGATCTTGAAGAAATGCAGCTCCCAAAGAACCTCAGCCTAACCCAACACCCACTCTCCTCTTCCTCCACATCATCATCATCATCTTTCTTCTTCTTCTTCCTCACCTTCGATTTGCACATGCTCCAAGACTCCACTTTACCATTCTCAGCTCCCAAACCCATCTTTCACAAACCCTAAAGAATGAAATCCAGATACCATAAAAAAACCCAACCACCAACCCTCCCACCCCCACAACAAAACCAGTCAAAAACTGTCTCTAGCCCTCCACACAACCCATATAAAAAATCACCAAAAAGCTCTGAAATTTCCAAACTTTCCTCAAAACCCAACTAAATTTGGTGGAAAAAAGGATGACCCAGCTGAGAAAAGAGCTAGATCACACGGAAAGTAGATCAAACTCGACAAACCCTTGAAGCTCAAAATTGAACAGCTAGTGAGGAAAAAGACAAAAACCAAGGAGCAAGTGTCCGTTTTTAACAGATAGGAACAACCAAATTTCAGTTTAACCCAGAAATGTCTGCTCAAAGACACATAAATCTCAGAAATGAACTCCCACAAGCTGACCAGTTTAAAGTTGGGTGAAATTTTTTTATATATTTTCCAAAATATCGTTATAAACTTATAATACTCTGAATTATCGATTCTCTCTCTTCTTTTTTTCCCTATTTTCAATTGAACCGAAGACTAGAAAAAAGCAAATCGAACTACCCGGAGAAAACGGGCAGGGAGTATAGTTGCCCGGACTGCCCGTTATGTAGCTGACCGTACGAGGTGCATGGCATTAAGGCTTGGGAAAGGAGGGAGTCGGGGCCGGGCAGTTCGGTCAGAGAGAGAAGTGGAAAAATGGGGACAGCGGGCAGGAGAGAGAAAGAGAGAGGCCGGACCCACTGAGATGGTGACGTGTCTAGCTTGGGTGGGCGGACGGAAACGCGCGCGTCAGGTTGATATCATCACTACTACAAGCCTGTAATGCATTCTTATTCTCGTCTCTCTTTTTTTTTCCCTAATTTTCCCTTGTTTTCTTTATGTTAAAACATGAAAAATATTTTAGAATCTGTCTTCTAATATGGAATTGATTTAAAACCCATTAAAAAAATTGCTTTGAAAAAAGGAAAATACTTACCCCATTTCCATGTAAGTAGGAATTCGTATATTACTGCCAATAGTGGCATGATATGTGTGCATAAGTTTTTTTGTATGTTTTTTATGAATTATTTTTGCACATGTATCAAACCGTGATTTGCAAGAATGAGCTCCTTCCAAGAAAGTGGAAAGAGGCAAGTAATATCTTTGAAAAAGGAAAAAGAAAATGCTCATAGCAAAAAAAATAATATTGGTTTTATAAGATTTTCTTGGTAATGTTGTATTGCTAAAGGGTGATCAATTATTAAAGGCATGGGATGTAGATAATGCAATAGCAATATGAATTATATATAAAAGATGAACCGTGTTCAAAGGTATCCATTATTTTATTTTTTTATTTTTTTTTTAAAAAGGCATCATTTGTACTCTCAAAAACAGAGTGAAGAGCGGCTTAGAGAATTATACTTATCAAGAGCTAAATTAAATTCAACGAGAATATTAAGATTATTAATATAAGAGCTTGTTCATTGGTTTAAGAAATCTCGCATGCAACACAGAGATTGACTTCCAAATATCCAATATGTTAATTAATCTTTTTTTATTGCTTTTAATTACTATAATATACTCATTGAAATGGCGAATAAGAATGTTGTGCCTGCCTTTCGATGATGGTGTTTTTTTTTTTGGGGTGGAACTTGATAGTGATTATCTTTTTTCTTCTCTGACGAGATCAGAGCCATGACTAAATTAGTTGGGTCCAAAATTTTGTTGTAATATATTCCAGATGCAACAAAACTATTTCTTAAATTCTCTCAAATTCGAATTTCTCACTATATTTGAGTACAAAGATAGAGCTTGCAACACTCTGATCTAAACACACATGTTCCCCTTTAAAGTTTCTACCTAATTATAACAAGTTTGGCATGAGAATAATTAATGATATTAATAATCACATATGATTGGTACTTTAAAAAAAAAAAAATCAGGGTAGATTAGGCCACCCTGTCCTATATCATGATATTGGTAACAAATTACCCACTCAATATCATCTGCCTGCATTTTCAGGCATTATAGTTATTTTATGACTTTTTTTTTTGGCTAACCCATTATTTTAAGTGTAGATTAAAAATTAGAAAGATCATATTTTATCATTTGCACTTCCATATTTTATAGATTAGCAAGTCTACATTTGGAATATGGACACATGGAAGGAAATCCTTGTAAAAAGCATCAAATCATAAGGGGTTGACATCACTTCATCAACAGGTAGAGAAAAATTGATTCAAGAGAAGAATGGGGCGGCACCTCACTCTTAGCAAATTTAATTGAATATCGGTTTTATTTCAGGGTTGAATGTCAAAATGGTCCGTGTATTTTACAACATTGGCCAATTTATTCCCTGTATTCTTAATTTGGCCAATTTGGTCCTTGTGTTTAGGACCGTTAAACTAACATAACATTGGAAGAAGTAAAAATAAAAACTTGAAATTAATTTTTGAATGGAAACAAAGAGTCAATTTAATAAGAAGCTACACAATTTTTTCTGTATTAAATGATTACATATCACACAAGTAGATTCATCTACAGAGAATACAGTCACCCACTGGAAGGGGTAAAGGGGTATCAAACAATCCCCATTCTCAAACCAGGGTTTACAACACACACTGTGACCTTATATTTCTACTAGAACGAATTGACATGAGAATTCCAGCTAAACAAAGCCAAGGGAAACCTTGGTGCCTGTTGTTGCGCACCCGATGCTTGATCGCTACACAAGTGACAGTTCAAAAATTCCTTCACGGTTCAGTTTAAGATGTTGAAAGAAATGCACGGCGCACTAGATATTTCCTAAATAATCCCAGTTGAAATGCTGGAAGTCGCATTAATCTTCAGTGAGTACTCAGGTATATAAGTAAGACCTGTTATGCCAGAACATGAAACTCCATCAGAACAAATTCGACAGTTGGGTTTTTTCATTTAATTAAGGATAACCCTCCGAAATTATTGTTTTGAAGGAGGAACCAGAGAGTGCATAAGACCAGCCCAAGTGTCTTCTGGTATACTAATTCTTTATTGATTATATTAACAGCCTAATAGAGTCCACTCAATAAGCATTCTTCTGACAAGGATGCATGTAAAAATAAAATAGTATAAATAATAGGATGAGTACCTTTTTCCTTGACATCAATTTGTAGTGTGTCCAGTGTAATTATGCCATCAGTCAATGGAAGTAGCTCAAGCTTGATGGTTGCCATAGATTGGGAGGGAACGCATCTGTTGTGACCATAGAAAATTATAATAATTGGAATATCTATGAATAAGAAAAAAGAAAAAAGATGGAAGTATTACCCTAGTGGAACTCTACTCTGAAGCCACAGATGTGTACAACACAAACCATTACTAGGAATGGCGTCAGATATTGGAGAAGCCTGTTCGTTGAAAGAAGCTGGCCAAACACCACCTTTACCATTTTGTTTCTGATTCTCTGATGAAAGGAGTGGTGAGCTTAGCCTCTGCATTGTAGGACTCCTTCCTGTAAACTCAGGAAAGCCAACAAATGGACTCATAGGTGAAGAAGGTGAAGAATTCAAGGAGACCACTGAAGGAGGGGAAGTGAATGAAGCTGGAGCAAGAACCGTCAGAGTTAGATCTTCTGACATTAGATTTGAAACCTGAAGAGTTAAGACCTGCAAATTGAAAAATTAGATGAAACGTGATTATACAAGGGAAAAAAGAAGAAAACACCACATATGCATATGAACTACTAAGTGTATGAAACCTGAACAGGAAGCTGAGAGACCCCTCCACTGGGTGCACTAGATTGTCCAGACATTTCAGATGCTACAGAGATCATAAGATCCCTTGAAACACGTGGCCGCCAACTTGTTGGCTGTTTGAAAAATAATCTCGACTCTACAGATGTAACATAAAAGATGAAGAATTAGAAACGAATAACTTAGGTTCTCCAAATAGGGTATACTAAAAGGAATATAATTACCAGTGTAGTTGCACCGACATGATACCATAATTGCATACTGATCAGCAGTTGAAGCACTTCTCTTTAATTCAACAGCCTTGGATGGCGGACGCAAACTTGATGCTGCATTTCCAGCCTGCAGTTGTGATGATTGAGTTCTTCTATCACCACCAGCCTTGAGATTCTTCCACAGGGATGTTGCCGGTTTAAGAATAAAGGAATGCTCTTCACCTCTCCTGCCATGAGAAATTCTAATGAGAAGAGAACAAATACACTTAGGATTCCAATAACTAAACAGAAAAATGTTCCAATTACAGACTCCATGTTTCTGGTGAACATCAAATTTACAAAGTTCACAATAGAAACCTCCGTACTGGGTTCAGCCAATCCACACTAAATGACCATTGCCAGATAATAAGCATCTGCTCTCTCTGTAGGGAGGCTAGAGTTAACAGGAATGAGAATTGAAATAGGTAATCACATCCTGAAAGTCTTATTTTAAGAAGTGCGATGACATTAAATAATGATGCATGAGCATCCAAGAAGAAATGCAAAACTAAGAGTCCACCAACACAGAGTACTAAGCAATATTCCACAGCAACTTAACCCCAACTGCCTGGGGTTGACAACCCATACAATTTTCTAATCCCAGATATTTGATGTGCTCCAAGAATGCATGCACAATCACCATGAAGAAAACATGATATTTTGTAACAAGGACAATCAGCATTAAAAAAATGAATACCAAATTAAAATACCAAGACATAAAAACAACCTGAGGGCTAGGTTTGGCAAACTGTGGTCGTTTCCTGCTTCAATACATGCAATTGGTAATGATAAGGATTGTCCACCTTTCGAAGCCTCCTCAAATACAATTGTTATAGCATCTATATACACCACAATATGTGGTGCATGTGCTGGAGAAACATTCTGCAAAACAAAATGATAACTTAATAGGAATGTGGAACGAAGCCAAACAAACATCTCATTCCTAACAAGAATGATGTTATAAAAATTTCAGGCAAAATCAAGTATTAACAAACATACGTTCTGGAGAAACATTCCGCAAAACAAAATGCTAACCTAACAGGAATGTGAGACAGCCTAACAAACATGACATTTCTAACAAGAGTGATTAGAATTGGAAAGATATGAAAAGACAGGCATATTTAACAAACACCTTGATCTAGTCAATCATTGCTCACACCTTGATCTGGACACAGAGAAGGTCATCTGTATTGCAGTCAGCAGCAAAAGAATGGATTTCTACAGGTTGTATAATTTCAAGTTTTCTCCTCCACCTTCTTCCTGGAGTATAGATTCCCTCCAATCCACAACGAACAGAAAATCGTTCTCGCTCCAATGACACACCTCGAAAAGATAAAAGCACCTCGTAACCAGTTTTTTGACTCTTCCAGAACTGCTGAGATGAATACTGATCCCAATCTTCAAGATCAAAGGTTGGCTTAGAACTGGCGGCTTTAATAGGTGCAGGTGGTGGTGTAGTATTTTGTGGTAGTGATGACATGGAGTAACTTCTAAAATGGGAGAAGAGTTGAGAACCAGACTTTTGAGATGTGCTACCC